CGGGCTCAGGCAATTCACTCATCTCAGCCTCCCAAAGGCGCAGGATTACAGGCTGAGCCACCGAGCCCAGCTTATGATGTGATTTTATTTTATTTCTCTAGAGAGGATAGTTATGCCTTTCCTTCACCAGGCTAAACAGAACTGGGATGGCCATACTAGCTGATGCAGCTCAAAACCATCAGCAAAGGGCAAATGAGTTCCTGATTCACTAACTGCACTCTCATGCTTTATGTTCGAGAGCTGAATACATTTAGATAGAATTGCATATGAATTTCTTTTTTTTTTAACCAACTTTTTTTTTTTGAGTTGGGAGTCTTACTCTGTCGCTGGCTGGAGTGCAGTGGCACACCCAAAGCACCCCAGCATCAACCCGCTGGGCTCCAGCATTCCTTCCACCTCAACCTTTCAAGTAGCCAAAACTACAGGCACGTGCTACCATGCCTAATTTTTGATTTATTGTAGAGACAAGATCTCGCCAAGTTGCCCATGCTGATCTCGAACCCGCGGGCTCAGGCAATCCTTTCGCCCAGTCTTCCAAAGTGCTGGGATTACAGGCTGAGCTACCGAGCCCGGCCCAGATGAATTTCTATTGTCTCCACATTGTTACCAGTCCTCAAAACCCTGCAACCGCATAGGTTTTGGTAATGGGGTCTCTCTCACTATCCAGATTCTTCAGCATAACTCAGTAGAGATTTGGATGGCTAAAAATATTTGGAATGCTAGTGTTGGAACTGGGAACAAAATGGAACCCTGAATACGGATAATTGAAGAAAGCATTATGACTAAAAAGGGTTAGGAAGTCATATAGATGAGACATAATTTTTTCTTGCTCTAATTCCTGGTATCTTGGAAATTTGTTTACCTTGGCTTTGTGTGGCACTTTTATTGTCACATGATTATTTTGTTTTTATTTATTTATTATTATTTTTTTTTGAGTTGGAGTCTCACTCTGTTGTCCAGATTGGAGTTGCAGTGGCCGCTTCCGGCCACCGCAGCCTCAACCTGGTGGGCTCCGGCGATCCTTCCGTCTCAGCCTTCCGAGTAGCTGGAACTACAGGCGCGCGCTACCACGCCCGGCTGATTTTTGATTTATTGTAGAGATGAGGTCTTGCCAAGTTGCCCAGGTAGGTCTCGAACCTGCGGGCTCAGGCAATTCACTCACCTCAGCCTCCCAAAGCGCGGGATTACAGGCTGAGCCACCAAGCCTGGCTGTTTTTATTTATTTATTGGGCACTGGAGACATGGTGTTTTTATTTATTTATTTTTATTTTTTGTAGAGACAAGGTCTCGCTATGTTACCCAGGCTAGTCTTGAACTCCTGGGCTCAAGCCATCCTCTGCCTCATTCTCCCTAAGTGCTGGGATTACAGGCATGAGCCACTGTGCCCAGCTGATGTTTTTATTTCTTACTGCATTTATGCCATACTTCATTCCAGGATGTAATTACTTTTTTTTTTTTTTTTTTTTTGAGTTGGAGTCTCATTCTGTCACCCAGACTAGAGTGCAGTGGCACGCTCCCGGTCACCGCAGCCTTGACTTGCTGGGCTCCGGTGATCCTTCCGCCTCAGCCTTTCAAGTAACTGAAACTACAGGTGTGCGTTACCACACCTGGCTAATTTTTTATTTTATTGTAGAGATGTGGTCTCACCAAGTTGCCCAGGTAGGTCTCGAACCCGCGAGCTCAGGTAATCTCACCTCAGCTTCCCAAAGCACTGGGATTACAGGCTGAGCCACTGAGCCCGGCTGTAATTACATTTTTATTATTTTTGTTTTTGAGTCAGAGTCTCTGTTGCCCAGGCTGGAGTGCAGTGGCACGCCCACAGTCACCACAGCTTCCACCTGCTGGACTCAGGCGATCCTTCTGCAACAGCCTTCCAAGTAGCTAGAACTACAGGCACATGCCTCCATGCCCAGCTGATTTTTTTTTATTTATTGTAGAGCAAGGTCTCCTCAAGTTGCCCAAGCTGGTCTCAAATGCTTGGGCTCAGGCAATCCTCTCACTTCCGCCTCCCGAAGTGCTGGGATTAGAGGTGTGAGCTACCACGCCTGGCTTAAAATATTTATATTATGGAAGAGATCTTTACTTTTTTATTTTCATTTTTTATTGTTTTTATTTTATTTTTTTAGTTGGAGTCTCACTCTGTTGCCCAAGCTTGAGTTTGTAATGGCATGCTCATGGGCACTGCAGCCTCAACCCTTTGGGTTCAGATGATCCTTCCACCTCTGCCTTCCAAGTAGCTGGAACTACAGGCACATGCCACCACGCCAAGCTAATTTTTCTGATTTATTGTAGAAACTTGGTATCACCAAGTTGCCCAGGCTGGTCTCGAACCCCTGGGCTTGATCAATCTTCTCGCCTTGGCCTCCCAAAGTGCTAGGATTACAGACTTGAGCCACCACACCTGGCCAAGATCTTTACTTTTTTAGAGTTTGTATGTGATGTATGTAAGTTTTAAAAAGTAAAAAAAGTAACCAAAAATTTACTTTTACCCTCTAAAGCTATTGAAATAAAGAAAAATAATAATAAGAAGAAACCAAATAAGAAACTGAAATAAGAAACCATCCAAATAAGCAACCGCCTGATCCTTACTCAGAGGCTACTGGTGGCAGTCCCTGCCTGGCCACACTCCCTTCCTTCCTTCCTTCTTTCCTTCCTTCCTTCCTTCCTTCCTTCCTTCCTTCCTTCCTCTCCAAGACAACCAGTGTCTTGAACTCAGTGTTGATCATTTTCTTGTTTATTCTCAGATTATATGTATGTTTTGGAACTTTATAGATATGGAATTATGCTATACATGTTTTCCAACTTTTAAAATTAACATGGTTGCATTTTATGTCATCCTTCTGTTAAAAGATATTTATTCATCTTCCCATTAAAAAACATTTCTGAGTTTTTAGTCTTTTGCTGTTAAAATAATGCAGCTCTAAAAACTCTTGTAGGTGACTCCTGGGTGTCTCATAAGTTTTCTAAGGTTAAGTATAGAGAGTGAATCACTGGGGTGTAGCTTATGTACATCTTCAGTTTTACTAGATAATGCCAGGTTGTTTTCCAAAGTGGTTGTACCACTTTACACTCCCAGCAGTAGTATATCAGTGTACCCGATATTGTTAAGACTTAAAGTTTTGTGATATGGTGGGTATAAGTGTTATCTGATTGTTTTTACTTTCAGTGTCCTAGACTATTAAGGAAATTGAACATCTTTTCATATGTTTGAAGACCATTTGTGCTGCCTCTTCCTTGATTTGCCTGTTAAGTCTTTTGCCATTTTTTTATTGAGTTGTTTTGTCTTTCCAAATGGGATTTTTAGGAGTTTTTGTTTGTTCTAAATATGAATCCTTTGCTATATATATATATATAATTATCTTCCAGTTTATGGCTTGGCTTTTCACTTTATGGTGTCTTCTGATGAACCAAGGTTTTTTAATGTAGCAAACTTTATCAAGATCTTTTCTTTTTATTTTGCATTTTCTGTCTTAAGAAAACATCTCTGGACTAAAGTAAAGGGCAGATTGGTTCTGTGAGAAGGTAATTAGAGACAAAGACACTTCAGTGTGACTACAACTTGTGATAGTCTGTCCTGTTATTTTTCAGAGGTAAAATGTCTTTAGTTTCTGATTCCCTTTATTTCTGCTTTTTTGTTTTGTAGATACAAGTCCAATTCCGCTCAGCTGCTCGTTGAGGCTCGAGTTCAGCCTAATCCATCAAAACATGTGAGTGTCTGCTCCTTGAATGAGGCTTCTTCTCATGCCCATGGCTCTTGCTATGATTTGCAGTGTCACTGAGAACCATCTTTGCTTTATCTATAGTACAGCCTACCCACAGTATTTGTTCCAGTATTGGCCTAAATCTTCTGTGATAGTTTGAAAAGTTTCCTTGTAGATAGGGAGTAAATCATTTCCTGTCCTTGGACCCTCTCCAGCCTCACCTTTCTCTCTTTACTTACAACCTGTACTCCATTCCTTCTGAGTGTCTTGGTGTTCCTGTGATCACTGCATACCTCTTTGATTCTGTTTGTGCCTTCCCTGGCCTGGAATGTTCAGACTTTGTCCCCCATCTTTGCTTATAGGAATGGAATTCACTTTTAAAGACCCAAATTCAAGCATCCTCTTTTATAAAGCCTGTCTCCTGTGATCAGTCTCTTCTAAACCTCGTCTAGTTATGGTTATAAACTTTGAATTGTATATTATAGTGATTAAGTCATAGTTTTGCCTCCCTCACCATAGAAACTACAACAATGCATAGCAGTTTCTTGTATATCTAGGAGTTCAGTGAATATTTGTTGACTATTTTTTGAATAAGGGCCATGTAAAAAGAGTTCTTGGGAAGGAGAATTGGGGCTCAGGTTACCACATAATTTCTGCAGCCTCTTAGGGAAAAGGTTTCCAGAAGCATACTAGATAAACGTGAGAGTTCAGTTTTTTTCCTCAACTTGGTTTTTGTATTCCCAGTAAACTAAAAAGAATCAAATGTAAACTTGTAAGTGGACCTCTCCACTGGTTTGTGGTTTTGGCCAGAGTCCCCAGATTGTCTATGCTTGCCATTTATATAGCCTGGTGTGGATTCTGGAATTCATGCTTTATGCTATTTTTGCCCACATCCTAGAAGAGTTCCTTCCCTAGTAGGTCTTTCCCATCTCTCTAAATTAATTACATGTGACATCTCTGGTGTATTACGGATGAGTTGTAACTTGGTAAAAACTGTTCTTTGGGTATATTGATAAGGAAAAATCACTGTCCTTGACGAGTAAAACTGAAATGTTGGCTTTTAGAAGCTTTATGGACCCAGCCTCGAAGAACCTTTGTAGTCTGTAGTTCTTGTGAGTAGCAGCTGTGCTGTGCTGAATGGGGACAGTTTATAAAAGAAACTGATAACCTCTAAAAAGAAGTTAGACTAAATGATATCTAAGGACCTTGACAATTCTGAAATCTTCAGTTTTTCAGTCTGACATTATAAACCACTGTAAGTTCTCATTTCAGCCTTTCTCTGCCTCTCTGAATCCTAGTGATTCTGCAAGCCCAGCTTAGCTGCCACCTCTTTCAGGAAGCCTTCCTGGTGTATACTTTCTGCTTAGCACCATTAGGACTCAGAGTTCACACATTGCAATTGAGCTCTGATACTTGTTGCAGGTTGAGGATCGCCTCCCATGCACCTAAATGCATGAGGCACCCTGTGGCCTCCTGAATTTAAGCCTCCTTTTTGACTCTACCTCTCTCCAGGTCCCCATAGCCCATCCTCCTCACCACTGCGCAGTATGTATGCAGTTTGTGCGGAAGGAAAACCTACTCTCTCTGGCCTGTCAGCACCAGTTTTGCCGCAGCTGCTGGGAGCAGCACTGCTCAGTACTTGTCAAGGACGGCGTGGGTGTGGGTGAGTCTGCCACAAAACTTGTAAAAGGCTAGCATGAAGTGTGTATCTTCGACTCTGACTTTTCATGTATTCATGTAAACTGAGTGTTTTCTTCTGGGCCTGATTTGAGATTTTTATTGTCAGAACTTGTGGTTTCCCAGCACATCACTCTAAACAATGGCAGTGTTTTCCCCAGTCCTCAGCAAAGTGAGAAAATTAAAGATGACATTGTAAATGTTGGTATAAATGCAAGGTTATCTTCTCTCACCTTTTGAGAGAGCAATGCTTTAAGCTGCCTACCTTATCTTGATTCTCTAAATGGCAGCCATAACTCAGAAACATCCTTAGTTTGCTGCTATTTAGGTGGTATAGTACAAATCAAATTTGATGATTAGTTATAAGAGTATTTGTTATACTATGACTTGGTATTAAAACTAATTAGCATTGCATTAAATAATATCTGCAAAATACCACAATTGGTGATAATCACATACATATAATATTAAGCACCACAATACTAAATTGTTAGTCAGTAACCCTATGTAAGGATTTTAAAAATGATTTTGTTAGTTAGTGGTGGTGCTGTTGGTGATATATGTGTATACATAGTTTGGATACTTTAGTTGCATCACTGAAAATATGTTAATTTCTCTGTTCTCTTCTTTGAATAAATTGCTTCAAAGATTTCTTATATGGAATCTGGATTTGTTGGTTAAACCTGGTGAGCAAGCATATTGTGTCTTCTAGAATACAGTTGTCCATCAGGTTGTCTTTGTTCAACAGGAGTCTCTTGTATGGCTCAAGACTGTCCACTCCGTACACCAGAGGACTTTGTGTTTCCTTTGCTTCCCAATGAAGAATTAAGAGACAAATATAGGCGCTACCTCTTCAGGGACTACGTGGAGGTATGGCCAGCCTTTCTCCTGCCCTCTGTTTTCCTGGGTCTACCTTCCATCAGTTGGTCATCACAGTTACTTTATAAACTAGGCTGCCATTAGGTGCTGCTGTTGTTTGAAGAGAGAGCTCTGTGGCTTTAAAAAAGTTGGAAAGTCACTAGAATGTCAGTGAAGAGCATAGGCCTGGAGTCATAAACCATTGTATGAAACCCAGGTCTGTTGCCTCCTTGCTTTGTGACCATTGACCCATAATTTTACCTCCCTGAGTCTTGGCTTTCTCTTCCATAGAATGAATAGACATTTCCACCTTACACATAGTTGCTTAAACAAGCTATTTTATGTTAGGGGATGAATACAAGTCAGGTATATTTCAGGAGTCCCAGTTGGTTTACTGTGTAGATTCAGCACAAAGAAGGGATATTTCTTTTTGAGCAATGAGAAAACTTGTCCAGGATTCTAGCATGGTCAGTCTTGGAGTCCTTTTCCTCTATTGGGCTACCTGCCCAGGCTTGCTGATTTCATGTCACATCGTTTTCATTTTTGTCTCTTTTTTTTTGAGTCAGAGTCTCACTCTGTCGCCCAGGCTGGAGTGCAGTGGCGCACTCTCCGCCATCCCAGCCTCAACCTGCTGGGCTCAGGTGATCCTTTCGCCTCAACCTTCCAAGTAGCTGGAATCACAGGCATACACCACCACACCCGGCTGATTTTTTTATTTATTGTAGAGACAAGTTCTTGCCATGTTGCCCAGACTGGTCTCAAACTCTTGAGCTCAGGCAGTCTTCTTGCCTCCGCCTTCAAAGTGCTGGGATTACAGTCGTGAGCCACCACACCTGGCTTTGTCTTTGCCTTTTATGCCTAAGCTTATTAGATTGATTTGTGGTCTGGGTTTTCTTCATGCATGTGCTGCAGGATAAACAGGCAGCCTCATTCTTTGTACTGTTTGCTGCCTTTGGTAGTGATCCTCAGAGCTATTTTTTGCACAACTAACTGGGCTGTGTGCCTTTCCAGCCCTGGTTCACATGTACTTTCATCTCATGGATACAATTCTGTTTGTTTATTTAGAAATGGAGTCTTGCACGTGGCAAGACCTCGTCTCTACAATAAATCAAAAATTAGCCGGATGTGGTAGCGTGCGCCTGTAGTTCCGGCAACTTGGAAGGCTGAGGCGGAAGGATCACTGGAGCCCAGCAGGTCGAGACTGCAGCGGTCGGGAGCGTGCCACTGCACTCCAGTCTGGGTGACAGAGTGAGACTCCAATTTTAAAAAAAAGAAAAGAAAAGAAAGAAATGGAGTCTTGCTCTGTTGCCCAGGCTAGAGTGCAGTGACCCACCATAGCTTACTATATCCTCAAACTCCTGGGCTCAAGCGATCCTCATGCCTCAGTCTCCCAAGTAGCGAGGATTATAGGCGCAAACCATTACATCAGGCACAATTATTTTGTAATATATTTTGTCATATACCTTTAGATCATTTTAGTGAATTGCCACCTGGCTTACGTTAAATATTCAGAGGTTCTCTGAAATATCTGGCTAATGTGTGGTCTTCATGATACCCATCCTAAATTCATATAGCTCCTTGATATGTCATCAGCTGGAAGAACAGAAGGTGTGTGAGCCCTTGGGGAGGAGGGTCTAATTTGGAGATAGCAATTAAGGAATGTCCTCATTGTTTCCCCCTTGGTGTGTTCACAGAGTCATTACCAGCTCCAGCTTTGCCCTGGTGCAGACTGCCCCATGGTTATTCGGGTACAGGAGCCTAGAGCTCGCCGAGTACAGTGCAATCGGTGCAATGAGGTCTTCTGGTAAGAGTGAGTGTGGGTGCTGAACAGCCCTAGGCTCATTCCTGGTGCTCCAAAGCACCACTGCTGTTGCTTAGTATGAGGACAGGGCTAAAAGAGGCAGGGTCTCTGAACCCAAAGAGCAACTGCTCTAGGTGGGCAGGTTTGTGCCTAACATTTCATGTTCCACAGGGTTTGATAAATGCTCAATCTGAAGACAAAGAATGATACAGTTTCTTGGACAGTGTGTTAAGGTTTATACTACTAAAACTCATGACCCAGAGATTTTATAGATAGGTATCTACCTGCACTGTTAATTTACATGTTACTGTGTTAGAAAGCTATAACGTTTTAATCTGTCTCTGTCATAGCCTTTAAAACTAATTCACAGATATATTCTATGTCTACTTGAGATTCACTCCATTCAGTAGATATTATGGGAATAACTGAAGTTTATGCAAGGATTACCAGGTGGCAGGCACTATCCTGATTGCTTTCCCTGCATTATCACAGCTGTTTATGACCCTTATGTTCTAAGTGAAGAAATCAAGGTGCAAGGTAAACCTACCTAGTAAGTGACAGAAACATAATTTAGGCCCTGATCTGTCCTCCTGATCCCATTTCCCCCAAAAGATTTATGGTGGGACCTCAGAGAAACTTTATAGAAAATGTATGTGTGCATACATGCTTGCCTTTCAAGACATTATTAAAGGATTCTTGTGACCCTCCAAAGATTAAGACTCATAATGTAGTTGCTCTTCATCCTTGTGTCCCACATCATGCACTTATTTTCTTGGGACATGTGTTTGGCTATCTGCCTGAGGGCCTTTGCTGTCCACAAAGGACTGTTGTCTTAGACTTAAGGGAAATTTAAAGCATGAGAGCCAGCCCAATGAGTATTAGAGTGTTTTTATTTTCTATTTTAAGGTGTCATTAGATGTGTCATGCCCCTACAGATTTCACAGATTCTGGCATTTGTACATCCATGTGTGCACATCTGGCTGGGAGGGAAGATGAGGTGAGACTCCCAGAAGTGGATCTCAGTCCTGCCTTAGGTTGGAACCCCAGGACCCTTCTCAGAGCACCTCACCATGCTCTTTGACAGGCTAAACTCTGTGTTTGACTGCCTTTCAAGAAGGTTTGACATCACACAAATTATTTTATTTGGGCAGATTAGAGCATATCTTAGAAGGGCTCAAGTTGAGAAGATACATTTATGCAGTATTACAGTGTAATTCTGAATATGTCAAGGTCACAAAAGCCTTGAAAGGTGACTTTACTCTTTGAAAAGCTCTAATTCATGACCTGTTGGCTTGGACAAAAGGAAAATTTAAAACACGGAACCCTGACTTGATAAATATTTGAATGGTTTTTGTTTTTCCGATTTTAAGTTTCAAGTGTCGTCAGATGTATCACGCCCCCACAGACTGTGCCACGATCCGGAAATGGCTTACGAAGTGTGCAGATGACTCTGAAACAGCCAACTACATTAGTGCTCACACTAAAGATGTAAGTCATGGTTACTGCCCTTCTTAGTGCTACACAGGATCCTTGCTAGTGGCTGCAGACCCTCACCTAGATTCGGCAGAGGTTGTACCAGTTTATCATAAAATGCACTAGGTGCGTTTTAAAACTTTAAATGCCTGGGAAGTTTCCCCAAGGGGGAAACTAATTAGAAGAAAACTAATTTTTATTGACTACTTAGCAGGCTTTGATAGCCCTGGGTAGGAAGTGGTTAATAGCCACACCTGGATAAATAGTAAGGCTGTAATGTAATCCCAAGCCTGCCCAGTTCTCATATTGAAGCTTTCCATGGGAAAGTATTGCCTGTGAGCTCTAAGGGCTACTTTACCCTGTGCCAGTCACTCACTGAGTCACTGCACTCACAAAGCACAGCTGTGACCATGACATCATTAAGCATAGTCTTCTTGATGGCAGTGAGAGAAGCACAGCATCAGGCTGGTTTCTGCTTTGCTGCCTGAGGTTACTGGCATCTCTCTCTCTCTTTCTCTTTTGTTTTTTTTTTTTTTTGAGTAGGAGTCTCACTCTCTTACCAGATTGGAATGCAGAGGCACATTCATGGCCACCACAATCTCAGCTTGCTGGGCTCAGGCGATCCTTCCGCCTCAGCCTTCCAAGTAGCTGGAACCACAGGTGTGCACCACCATGCCTGGCTAACTTTTTGATCTGTTGTAGAGATGAGGTCTCACCAAGTTGACCAGGCTGGTCTTGAACCCCTGGACTCAGGCATTCCTCTCACCTCCACTTCCCAAAGTGCTGGGATTATAGGTGTGAGCCACTGTACCCAGCTGCTAGCATCGTTCAAATGAGAGGAGCTTAAGAGATAATTTCCTTGCCCTCTTTTGGAAGCAGAAGTCCAGGCAGGACTGTCCAGGGCTTAATCCAAGTGTGGCAGCATTTGTGTTTCTTGGCAGCCCTTTCAAGCAGGCAGGCTTTCTACTGATTTAGCCTGTGCTTAATCTGAGTAGCTTCATGGCAGGGGCAGATGGTGCTTGAAGTGTTTCAAAGCCAAATATGCTGATCTTATTTTCTTGAATTGCTGTTCCAGCTTCAGCAACCTCCCACATTTAAATGAGATGCTCCTCCCAGAAGTGCTCGCATGGTGAGCCACTGGGCACAGGTGCCAGGAGCTTTGTGTAATTTGTCTTAAAACCGACCTGATGGTATATGCGCCTAATGTCACCCTTATGTTTCCTCAGTGTCCCAAGTGCAACATCTGCATTGAGAAGAATGGAGGCTGCAATCACATGGTGAGCAGAAGCCTATACACTTTGCATGTGTGATATGAAGCCTTTGGTCAACATGCCCTTAACATGTTCTCTTCTGTTTCCCTCTGACAGCAATGCTCCAAATGTAAACACGGTGAGTCCCAGGCTTGGTGCATTAGGCTCAGTGGCATGGCCTATGTTTCTTGTGCTTGGGTTGCCATTGCTATTTTAGTGAGTAGTTCTGTAATGAAATGATAAAACAAAGGGGAGCCTCAGTCACTTATAGTCACAATATTTGCATAAAATAGCTCTTGATTTTTATTTACTTTTTATTTTTTGGTCCTTTTTATAATCCCACTGCCATCTTGCTGGTACATGTAGTCAGAAGTCAAGCTTGGGATAACCCCCATGATTCTCAGTTATCCAAGTAGAATATTTTAGTGTGTTGTTTTCATTCTTTTTGCTATGACAGGTAAGTAGCATAGGCTTATCTGTGCTACCTTATAGATACCTTTACCAGAGGCAGTAAAGTAGTAGTTTTCCCTTGAGATTTCTAGAGGGGGTTTTAATTTATCCTTTCAGACCTCCTTTCAAAAACAGTTTACATAGCTTAGAATCTGTTGGTTTTATTTTCCTTACTATTAGGCCAAGTGAAGAAACAAAGTCCTTTCAAGTAGAAAATATGTCCAAGTAGGTCTTTTACACTGCTACTCTGATGCTGACCAAGAGCCCCTGAGTGTCTCTTTGTAAGAGCCCATGTGAATGCTGTTCTCAGGAGTCCTCTGTAATCAGGGTAGATTTGGCAAGGTCTTAGACAGGAACAGTGATTCTGCAGTGTGGAATGAAGATGGGCCATGCGTATATTTCCTCAGTGGGGCCCCTCTCTCTCTCTCTCAAAAGACACACATACATTTAAAGAAGAATGACAAATACCCCTATACTCACCACATTCCTAGTGCCTAAGAAGACCCTTGTGTGCCCCTCCCCAATCATAGTCTCCATATCCCTTGATTCTCAGGGTTAACTACCTTCCCTTGTTTTGCTGTACAGTTATACCACCTATGTGGGCAACCCTAAGGAATGTATTCTTTAAAACAGTAGCAAGCACACCTGCTTCACTAAGGAGAGGACAGTATTGCCACTATTGAATGAAGATTCCCAGAAGGAGAGAAGTTGAATAACCTTTGGGTCTCTGAGTTTGGCTTTGAATTCCCTATAGCTTTATACAATCCCTTTTAAGGAAGTCAGTAAGCAAAGTTATGAGAGTGAATCCCGGGAAACTTTTGGGGCAAGAGTTGTGAGTGGGAGAGATAGGAGTGCATTTTGTATAGATGATGTATGTTCTAGACAACCAAGTGGGCCTCAGTTGGATATCTTTCTGCTTCTCATAGTGGCATTGACACAGCAGACCAGTCAGCATCTGCCTGTGCTGAATTAATAAGGCACACAGCACGTGTTCTCGTGGAATGGAAAATATCCATAAGCTATTGTTCATATCAGTAAGGACAGGCTACAGAGGCAGTGGGATGTGACAGGGATGAGAAATGCACATTCCCTCTGGAAAGAGGTACCCTTGGGAAGTTCTGTTTAGGTGACCTCTTTGAATCAGGGTCTGTCTGTCCCATTGCTTTGCCTATTCCTTGGAGGAATGTGGGTTTGCTTTTTTGGATATAAATGACCCTTCCCCTGTTCTGTACAGACTTCTGCTGGATGTGTCTAGGAGATTGGAAGACTCATGGCAGTGAGTACTATGAATGCAGTCGTTATAAGGAGAATCCTGACATTGTCAACCAGAGCCAGCAAGCCCAGGCCAGGGAAGCCCTCAAGAAGTATTTATTCTACTTTGAGAGGGTAGGTGTTCTCTCCTACCAAGGCTTCTTACACTTAACTGGTTGGGATGGGATTCCTAGGGACTGATAGAGCCAGACTGTACACATAGAAGTCAATGGATAGAGCTCTTATAGTAGCCTGAGTGTTGCCTTTATATGAGAGGGATCAAAAAACCCCAGAATTTATTTATAAAAAATTGTCTTCTTACGTGTTTAAGCTTCAGTCACCTTCAAAGTATTCGCCATTTGTAATACGCCTGAAAAATCTCTTGGGGTGAGATTTGGTGAATAGGAAAGGTGGAGCATGGGGGTCATACCATTTTAGGGGTCAAAAACTGCTGAACACTCAGTGTGGTGTAAGCAGGTGGGCTTATAAATCACCCATCGTGAAATGGGCAGACGTGTTGAAAGGATTGCCAAAAAAATTTTTACTGAAGCCGAATGCAGCTTCTCACAGCAATACTAGCAGGTATACTCATGCTGATGGATTCCTAGAACACTTAGAGGGAAGAGCCTCTAAGGAGCCTGCCCTCCAAAAAATAATACCGTGGTTTTTTTTTGAGTCCCCTTCATAGATGTGGCTTTCAGACTCTAAAAGACAGTCCCAGCCCACAGGGAAGGACCTAGTACTGACCTTGGTTGGGTGATGGATTGACAGGCAGGGAACGACCACCAGGTAGTCTTTTTTTGTCCAGTGCCATCTTTGTAGTCAGATTTAGAGAGCAGTTTCTCCATGGGAGACTCTTTAGAAGCCCAAAGTATATAGCACATTTGTTCTCTTAGCACAGCAGACCATCAGGGACCTAGCTTTGCTTAGTTCTCAGGGTTGGAGTCCCATTTTCCCAGAGGGGTAGAGTGATCTGGCAGGCAGGCAGCTGCTCTGGACAGATTAGAAGTATGGATGGGGCTGGGTGTGGTGGCTCAAGCCTATAATCCCAGCACTTTGGGAAGCCGAGGTGAGAGGATTGCCTGAGCTACAAGTTCAAGAGCAGACTGGGCAACTTGGCAAGATCTCATCTTTACAGTCAATCAATCAATAAATTAGCTGGGCATGGTAGCGCACACCTATAGTTCCAACTATTTGGAAGACTGAGGCGGAAAGATCTCCTGAGCCCAGCAGGTTGTCTTTGGGGTGGCTGTGAGTGTGCCACTGCCACCAGACTGAACGACGGGTGAGACTCCAACTCAAAAAAAAAAAAAAAATTATGGGTAGAAGAAGACCTCTTTTCTTGCTCTCTCAAGGACACACAGTCCCCATAAGCTAAAGGAGTCTATAGCCATGCCCTACCAACAAGGTGTCTTTGCTGAACTGTGTAGACCTCTGCAACTTCTCAGGACTACTGCAGTTTTCTCCTTTATTCTGTGCCCTGTAGTGGGAAAACCACAACAAAAGCTTGCAGCTAGAGGCACAGACATACCAGCGGATTCATGAAAAGATTCAGGAGAGGGTCATGAACAATCTAGGGACATGGATCGACTGGCAATACCTACAGAATGCTGCTAAGCTCTTGGCCAAGGTATCTACCACATTCTTCTAGTCCCTGGTGCTGGCTCTGTCAGGTACAGACCTCTGAGGGTGAGAGACCCTGTGGGGGGGGGGATTTCAACACCCTGCGCAGCCATGCATGCTTCTGCTTAAGGGTCCACATCTCTGTGCTGTACCCACCAAGAACCCAACTCTCTGCTAGATGTCTAGGGGATTTCTAAGATAAATGTTCCACTGCCTGTGCTACAGCCTTTCGGTTCTCCTTTTGTCCCATCTATACATCACACAAAGAAAAATAAGAGATTGTCTTTGGACAGTTACTGAGATAGATGTGTGTACTCTGATGTCTTGCTCAACAGTGAAACGCCATTGAGGCAGCTGCTGGTAATAAATCAGTTTGAAAATGAAACTCTGGGTGTTCTATGGCAGTCTTTGTTTTCCCCATGTCTTCCCCCAGTTCATCCTCTATTTGTCTTGGTCTCATTTCTTTGAGGCTCATACCTAGAGAGCCAGGCTAATTTGCTTGGTAGGGTAAGAATTGTAAGAGCCACCTGAGATGCAAGTAGGTTGGAATCACAGGCATACGTCCCTTCTTTTCTCTCCTGTTGCAGTGTCGATATACCCTGCAGTATACCTACCCATATGCATACTACATGGAGTCTGGACCCAGGAAGAAGCTGGTAAGGCAAAGGAGTCCTTAGAGGTGTCTACCAGCACTCTACAGGAAAGTAGGGACTAGCCTGTCATTGGGAGAGCAAAATTAAAACAAAACTGTCTAATTACAAAATTCCATTTCTACTGGGTACCTCCAAAATAGATCTCAGGTGCTATCATTTTGTGTAATATAAAGCAGATGCACCTATGCCCTTTGAATAACCATATATAAAAGACACTCGGCTAAAAAGGTCTGTGGCCACTTGGGAGTCCAATGCCCATGCTTAGGACAGGATATTCGGCATGCATGTACCTAAGTTATAGTTGACTATTTTATGCCTTTGTTTAATTCTTCATCTTAGATGTGGGTTGTTTCCTGCTGATTATAAAGTAATTCACATTTATTGAATAGGAACATAGGAAAGCATTTACATTATTCATAATCCTACCAGAAAGAAATGACCACAGTTATCCAACCTTTTAAAAATTCATGTTGACTAGACTTGGTGGCTCAGCTTGTAATCCCAGCACTTTGGGAGGCAGAGGTGAATGGATTGCCTGAGCCTGTGGGTGTGAGACCAGCCCAGGCAACTTATCAAGACCTCGTCTCTACAATAAATAAAAAAAAAAAAAAAAGA